TACTGTTATATACTCTTACAATTAGGCAACAACTAACAGATACTATTACATTTGCTAACATTGTGACCCATAGCTGTACATTGTATTTCATTAATTCGGTATATGGTATAGTATAAAATCTTGTAAATGATTAATGAATATACTTACTATCAAGAATAGTTCTTCCCAAGTCATTCTTCTGTAGTGCCTTCTCCAACTCATCCATAAGCCATGGCATGAATACGGACTCCACATCTAACATATAAACAAGATAAACATTAAAAAAAATGTAAATGAATGTATCAAATAAGTGACAAACAGAAGGTGAAACTAGCCATTTCTGTAAATACACATCAAAAACACTAGAAATTGGAAAAACTAGGGCTGCGGAAATTAACGATTAATTCCGCGATTAATCATGAAAATTTTTGTTCGATTAAAATGCTTTTGATTGTTAATGAAAATACTCACCTCTCAGCCCGCTTCCGGGAGTCCCGCCGGAGATCCGGTGGCGTCACGGACATCAACGTCACCGGACTCCTCCCCCCATCCCCAAGTTGCTCCGTCGGCTAACGAAGGGAAGGGGGAGGAGTCCGGTGACGTCGATGTCCGTGACGGCTAACGAAGGGAAGGGGGAGGAGTCCGGTGACGTCGATGTCCGTGACGTCACCGGACTCCTCCCCCCTTCCCTTCGTTAGCCGACGGAGCCACTTGGGCCGTTGAGTTTGCCCAAGAAACTTGTTCTGCCCTATCAATTTTTAAATAGGTTATACTTACATGTAAAGGGAATATCACTGTGCAGCCTGCCAATTGACATCGAACCTTTCTTCTACAATCTTCCCAGCTGGTCAGTGTGCCCACAAGTGTGCACCAAACTCCAAGGCATTGGCCTATACACATACAGCACAGCAATGAAGTAATAAAATGAACTAGGATCACACTAATCCAGCACGTTATTATTCTGAGTTGCCCCACTAAAAGGCGGCCATATTGAGTGGGGCACGTGAGATTAATAATGTGCTGGATTAGTGTGATCCTAGTTCATTTTATTACTTCATTGCTGTGCTGTATGTGTAAAGGCCAATGTAGTTGGATCTGTATGTGCGTTATAATTATTCGAAATGAATCGATTAAAAAAAAATTTTGATTAATCGAACACGAAAATTTTAATCAGTATCAGCCCTAGAAAAAACATGAAATTGATTAATATAGTTTATGAAAAAAAAGTTTTAACATGTTTTTGCACCTTTTCAGTTCATAACAATATTCCAAACAATTAGTTCACTCCAGCAATGATTTCTGAGGGTTCAGGATCCACCCAAACTGCTGCGACTGGTATAGTAGGGGCCGACAACAAAACTTGTGATGTACTAGAATGATGGAGACAAGCAGGTATGTGTCTCTGATGTCCACAGACGTTACCTTAAAGGAGAACTATGGGGTTAAGGCTTTTCCCCATAGTTCTCCTTAGGGTAACGGGAGGACACAAACTAGCGTCCTCCCGTCACCCTAAGCTCAGTATACCGCGAGCTGTAACTGAGACGCCGCAGCTGAAGCGGATCCCGACAATTGTGCCGGGATCTGCCCAGCTGCGTGACTGACAGCTGGCTCTGCCTATCTAGAGACAGAGCCAGCTGTACCCGCCCCCTCCCCCGTCCGTTCCGCCAGTCAGCGCTGGCCGATCGGAGCGGGGAGAGGGGAATCCAGCCCCTCCCCTGTCACGGCAGAGAGCAGTGACAGGATCGAGAGGTGAGCGAACGCCGGCATGTGTTCGCTCACTTCCCGATCTACTGAGTCGACCTGTGACAGTCTCATTGTCACAGGTCGGCTAGAACTATGAGGTGAGTAAAAAGCACTCCTCATAGTTCTCTCAGGTTTTATAGGATCTGTCAGCAACCTTATTTTTGTTTGTTTTAACTGCTTTAAATTGATCCACGCTGAAATTGGATTAGGTTACTGGCCATTGCCAGCTTTCATCAGATCATACAATTGCAGTCATACAAGGAATGGAATGTAATATTTACACAATAAACTATTCTCCAATGTTTTATTTGTCCAATTAAATGAACACACATAAACAATAAGTCAGGATTCACTGCCTTTCAGCAATGTGTAGCCTTTGTGCCAGTGCTTACTTTCATATGGACAGCTGCAGTCTTCTGATATGTTATCATAGTCACTAAGGTATATAGCTAATCATCATACATTGCTCTAAAAGTAGAGTGTTTGTAATATGTATTTGTAAAACCGTGTATCAGGCTGATATTAGGAAGTGTAACCTGATGACTGGATGTTCTGAGAACCTCAATTCTACCACTCCTAGTCAGGGTAGAATACCTTTTGATACATAAGAGGCATTAAGCTATCATAAACCCCCGCCCCAAAAACCTGACTGTCACTGTTAACCATCTAAAATGTCATTTGTTTTAACAACTTTGGCTTCAATAATTTTTGAATCACTAAGCTGAAAAATGTATTGATTATACTGGACAGTGACTCTGTACCTCGTGATTGCTGTGACCATTCGCAGTATCACAAGATGTAAACAATGGCTTTGGTCAGCAGCCGGGTCTCAGTTTCCTCTCACACACCAGTTGGTATTTGAGATTATTATTATTATACAGGATTTATATAGCACCAACAGTTTGTACAGTGCTTTACAATATAAGTAGGACATTACAGTTACAATACAAATCAAGACAAGATGGTAAGGAAGGCCCTGCCCGTGAGAGCTTGCAATCTAAAAAGGAGGGCCTTCTGTTCACAGCACCAGTGATAATTAGTACCAGTGTCATCGGCACTTAACATAATCATCCAGCCCACTACTGTCATTCACCCCTCTACAACATATGCCAGCATTCTGTCTCTGATCTGACATGTATATTACCCCTGACGTCCCTTATCCTGCACATATGTACATTAACCCCTTGATCTCCATCCTTCCACTGTATATGATCTGCACATTTAATATATCTAGTGTACACATACCAAGCTCCATGTTTTAACCCCCTATACTTCATGCATGTTTCTTCATTTTCATTATCTACTTCTACAAAAGGGGTCAATGTGGCAGGGGGGGGGGGGGGGGGGGGCTTGGCGCGGCGTTGTAT